GAGAGAGAGCAGCGGGGGGAGGCAGAAAGAGAGAGAGAGGAAGAGAGGAGGAATTCATCCATTCATCATCAATAACCGTGATTGAACCCACCTGCGTTCGCTGCGCCGCGCGCTCCCGCACTACTTCTGTGCGCGTCAAACCAGCCCTTTTTTCCCCCGTGGAGGTGCTGCTGCTCCTGCTGCCTCCTTCTACACCCTCTCTCCGTTACTCCCCTCTCTCCTCAAAGCAGTAAGCAGCTCCCCTGGGTGTCGGAGCTGGAGAGGGACAACGCACTCACGACTCCCGACAACAAACGCAAAAACCTGCGCACGAAACCGCCCCCCTCTCCACCTCACCCTCACCAAATCACCATCTAATTGCACCAATCACAGGCCGCCCTTTCAATCAAGTTTACAACCAATCAATGGGATCGATGCGGACTTTTTGGGAACCCATTAATAAGTGATCAAAAATATGTCCACTTTCTCTTTAATTGTCTCCACATCAATCCATTTTTACTGCCGCCATTGATTCCCTTGTAAAAACCATCGCACTGTGTCTTTTCCTTTTTCTTTTTCCTCGTGGTCGGTGGCGAGGATTTAAACAAATGAAGCGCTTCCCATCTGCTGTGCAATAACAGTTTGATAAGTGGCACAGGACGGGAGAGCAGGCGGTGGAGGCAGACTCGTGTGTCAGACCAGGGGACGGTGATGTGCGCAACATGTCCAAATGTGGCGCCGCGCAGGGGCCACGTTCCTGGACACGGTGCAATGGCGCCACTGTGTGGTCAGTTTTGTGTCATTGCAACGGAAAGACAATCAGCACAGGACGTGAAACACCTGGACATGTCGGCGAATCACACCTTTTATTGATGGGGACAGATTCGACAAAAATCATTACATTTAACTAAATTTTTAAAAAAATTAAAATAAAAAAAATGACAAAAATCATTACATTTAACTAAATTAAAAAAAATTAAAATAAAAAAAAACATACAAAGAACGTTAAAACGTTGAAAGTTCCAACAAGGTTTTGTAGTTTTGTAATATTTTGTGTAAGACTGCATTCGTCCATCTTCCCCAAACTTCAGTCGAGCTAATACGTTAGCTTCTTACGCAGCCCCAAAACTTTGTACTTTTTAAGCGAACGAAATGATGAGGACGGACTGTATTATTATTGGTCTACATTATTTATACATATATATAAATTAATATTCACGATAAATTAATATATATCGGAGCAGAAGTCGTATCTTATTCCGTTTCGGCAAAGAAGGAAGGCTTAGATAGTTTTGACGATACGTCATTGCAATTTATTCACAATACAAATTGCAGTAGAACGTTGCCTCGCATTGACATCAGCAGCTCCAATCCTTGGATCAGTTCCCCAGACGTCAGAGACAATGACGTATGGTGGGGTAGAAAACAATGTGCGAAGGTAAATCTTCGCACAGGTGAATATGTAAATGTCGAAAACAGCAATTCCTGTGATGGCAAATGAATGCTATTCTGCGAAGACGTAAGTAAACAAACATGACTGATGGAAGTGATTTATCCGACAGTGAAAGGGGGGGGGAAAACACAAAACAAAAGTGATTTATCCGACAGTGAAAGGGGGAAAAAACACAAAACAGCACTGTGAGATTTTGAAGCAGTACATTTATTTATTTTTTTAAGTGGTTGGGTTTGACATTCATGTCACATCTTAACAGCTAAAGGCGTCTCATGTTATCTAGGACTTGAGCGTAATAGCATTTTACAACCCATGAGGAAAGTTAAATTAGAAAAACCTAAGTTTCTGAAGGTTGGTTCGTGTTTTTCGCTGCAACACATCCGAACAAAGGAATGATTCAACAAAAGGACAACTAATCATGGACCAACATAAATTTGCCTCAGTGTTAAAAAGTGACTGAGTCAGAACTAGATGGACGCGTTTCAAGCGTAAGGTCAACCAACAGTTAAGTACATGTCAGTAACTATTGTGTCTAATATAACTATAATTATTTACTGTATAACATCCAGTAGGATGAATCCATATGTACACGTTTCAAGACTGCCGCAGGTGCAAATCTCGCTTATAAAAATAAAGTTTGGTCTCTCCGTTCTCTTGATTTGTTTTTCTGGTTCGTCTCCATTTCATGGCTTTCTATATTCAAGCATTAAGACATCCAGTATCAACATTTGGTCTCCTTCAGTCCAGAACTTTAAATCATCTTCATGTGCCAGTGTTTAAGAGACTACCTGCAAAGTAAAACTCCACCAAAACTTTGAAAAGTCAGAAGAAAGTGATGCAGAAACGAAGAGAGCCTGTATGATGTAGCAATTTAAGATAAGGAGCCATCGAGGGGTCAGTGAGTCCTTGTGGGTTGTTAGCTACAACATTGGATTAAAAAAAAAATGTTATGGGTCTTTTAGTAATAAATAAACACGTACATTGGGTCCAAACTGTATTATGCATCATTTATGATCAAGTCCATGTCCTAGCCAAGTCACCAGTTTAAGTCCAAGACCGAGTGGTGGAAGAAAGGTTTGTGTCTGCCTCTAGTCCCTATGGTTTTGATTCCTAGTCCAAGTGACTAGAGGTAAAGTTGTTTCTTGGTTGAGAATGAAGTTTAGTGAAATAAGAGCCCAGTTGCCAGAATAACGAGCTCTAATCCAAGTCACTGAAAATAAGTTTGAGTTGAGGTCAATCAGGTCAACAGGGAAAATAAATTCATCTGTGACCTTAAGTAAGAGAAAAGAGTCCTGAAGTACTGAATGTTTCAAAAGAAATGTCTCAACTCGAGTCCCTGTGTTTCCAGTTGAGTCAACCAATGCTTTGATACATTTAAAGTCAAGCGTCTTGGATATTACAACTGAGCACGAGTCACAAGTTAATTTAAAAAGAAAACCCTTATATCGAGGGAAGTGACTAGTTGTTTTACAAAATTGTCATAATCAACATTAGCATCATTAGCCCCTGCAGAGTCAAAACTGTTACATCTGCTGCTGAAAAATGTTTAGACCTTGATATCTGTTCCTGTAGCACCCAGTTTTAGTTCTAAACAAAACAACCTTAAATAATTCATTTTACTTTGAGTGATTAATTCACTGTTGAGTTAATGTTGTGTGATTACTATTTTTCTTGAACACTTTTCTTTCAATTTTAGTAATAAATGGGACGTACGTCCTTCCAGTTAATGGTGTCCGATGTAGGTGACCTCCTGTGTGCAGGAGTAATCATTCAAACTGATGCTCAGTTTCACAGACAACAACACAAGTCATTAGTCTGGCCGGGTCACGTTTGACCTGTAAAAGCACTTCTTACAAATAAAATAATCCATACCTGCAGAAAGCTTCATAACACTGTGGAAATGATGATGAAGTGTTACTGATGCTTTGCTGCAAAAAGCCAGACGCTCCTCCTGTAACCAGGCTGCTGCATGGCCTCATTAGGTCGCTAATGTGTGGAAGGAACACAAGGTATAAACTGAGAGAAAGGAAAAATATTCTCTGGAGCATTAAAAGCTCAGTGTGGGAATGATAGCAAAATGTGAGAAATCACATGTTTCAGAACTTTTATAATCCAACCCTTGGATTAAATCTTTTAAAGGAACGTTGGGGCTGGACGTAGTTGATAAGAGAGGCGACTAAATAAAACTGCAAGCAAAAAAAAAGTTACAAATCCAACGAGGAATAGTTTAACTCTAAGGC